AACATTTCAAAATCATTACATGAAAACACATCATGCATATAAACTATTCTCCCATAGGGTATGGTGGAACCAACAATGGCTAAACCGAGGACACGAAAGCTTACCTCGCAAGCTAACTATCCAACCAAGAGTCCAACCAAGTTCAAAGTCCACAAACAGCAGTATTACAATCTGTTTTAGACCAGCAATCGTATCAACAATCATAATCTACAAGCATATGACATGAAGACAACGTTTTCCTTTTAAGTTTCATGCCCTTAGGCTTCTCACAAAGCCATAAGTCCTTAATCCCATTGATTCTGACTTAGATAATTATTACAGAGGTTTAACTTAATCAATCTAGGGTCCACAAACCCCAATACAGTTCTGTATGCACATAACAGTCACTGTCTCGAAATTCCCATCATATCCGGATATTTGTCGAGGGCATATCCGGATATCTATATCCGGATATCTCCAACCCCATATCCGGATATCCATATCTGGATATCATATCCGGATATTTCACGACAAATTGCAGTTTCTGCATTTTGCGAAGATATCACTCAAAGGTTCAACTTTTAATCCATTTCAACGTCCAAGCATGCATTTTTATAGACATATAGGTTCATGTTCATGTTGGTTACCTATTCAACTCATTAACATGCAAAGACTCAACCTTTAAACAAGGAAAACTCATGATCAAGGTAAGGAACATACCCAAGGCTTCAAAATAGAAACAAGAAGTGCTCTTGGAGCTCTCTATAAAGCTCCTACAATCTGACTTCCAAGGTACACGAAAATGGTGGTGAAGAATGGTCCTTTCTCTTCAAAGGTCACTCCTTGGAGCTCAAAATGTTAGAACAAAGGCTCCCTCAACCCTCACCAAGAAGTCAACACCTCAAACACAGAGAAAACAGCACCTTCAACTCAGAAATGGCTGACCTTCTCCCTCACAAGTCACTCTACCAAGTGTTTACAAAGATTAAGAGGAAGAATCAAGAGAAAAGATGAGTCTTGCTTGAGTTTTCAAGAGGAACAAGGAAGGTGACAAGGTGGAGGCACCACTCTTCAGAACACCCACGTAGAAATCTGAGTATGGCCTAGGGTTTTGGGCCAAAATGAGTATATATAGCCCGTTTAAGTTTTAACACACTGTATTAGTACTAATAGCTACGCTTAGCATTTTAATCCCAAACTTAGGATTCTGAACCTAGTCATTTTTCTAAGATTTGTCATATTTTTATTTTATTTTTTGCAACACTTTGCCAGTATGCGCTTTTACGAAGCCAGTATCAGTTCTGACACCAATTCTCATTATTTTAACTTGAAACTTGTTATGCTAGTCCTATATACTATTCTAGTGACATATACATACTTTTCATAATTTTCCGGGTTATTTCATCGGTACGCATTTATACCGTGAGGCAGAACCGGTATCTGCACTTTTCGTCAGAAAAGCGACTTTCAACATTATTAATCACTTACCATAATTATTCACACCTTCTCATAATGATTAGGGTCAATTATGGAATTATCTCATTAATCTCATAATTAATTAATTAAATTCCTAATTTAATGGTGCGGGTTCTTACATTCACCCCACCTTTTAAGAATTTTGTCCGCAAAATTAGAAACATACTTGTCTCAAAAATTGGGGTATTGCCGGAGAAGCTCATCCTCTCGCTCCTAAGTACACTCCTCAAGAGTTCTTTCTGTCCATTGCACCTTGACCATCGGAATGAACTTGCTCCTCAGCTTCTTCTCGCCACGTTCGAGAATCTTGAATGGTCCGACGGGAGTCTTTAGGTTCTCCCGAACCTCCACATCATTTGGTTGCACCACGTGCGAAGGATCTGCTACATACTTTCGAAGCTGAGACACGTGAAACACGTCGTGTATGTTGGCCAAGTTCGAAGGCAAGGCAAGCCGGTAGGCAATAGGTCCTACTCTACCAAGAAAGGTGGAGCCCCTAATGGTGGAGCTGTTGATAGATATTATACCCCACAATGTGGGAAGTGCAAGAAATACCACAAGGGTGTGTGTGGTGCGGCCCCGGGGGCATGTTTCAAGTGTGGTCAGACTGGCCATTTTGCTAGGAGTTGTCCATCTGCTGCTGGGCAGGCTGCGAATCTGCAGACCTTACCGACTACTACTACTACTACTACTGTTGTTATTCCTACGGTTGGACGAGTGTATACTACAAATGGGCAGCATACGGAAAAGGCCCCAAATTTGGTAAATTTCTAATATTGATTTGTCGTATTGTTTGATTCGGGAGTGACACATTCGTTCGTGGCAGAATATGTGGCTAAGGCATTGAACTTAAGGGTAACACGAATGATTCTCCCTATGCTTATTACTACTGCTACAGGAGAGGTTAGTGATTCATCCTTTATGTGTAAGGAAGTTGGGTTTGTGTATGAAGGCAAGGGTTACACTATTGATTTGATTATCTTGCCCCTGGCCTCTGTTAATTTGATATTGGGTATGGACTGGTTGTCTCAAAACTGCGCAATGATTGATTGCTGCGGAAAGAGGTTGATACTATCTCACGAGAAGCCCTCTGTTTGTCCGTCTCCTTATCTGTCAGACTATTAAATCCTTGAGGCTGGTGATCTGGGTTATGTACTCCTGGGTGGATTGGTTAGTGACAAGGAGGGAGAGATTTTTAGTATTCCGGTGGTAAATGAGTTTGCTGATGTATTTTCTGACGAGATACCAGAGTTTCCACCTGAGAGGGAGATTGAATTCTCCATTGATTTGTTGCCTGATGTGGGGCCTATCTCTTTGGCTCCATACCGGATGTCGCCACTGGAGTTGGTGATTTGAAAAAGAATAATGAAGAGCAATCTGTAAAGAATTTATTAGGCCGTGTGTGTCTCCGTGGGGAGCACCAGTAATATTTGTGAAAAAGAAGGATGGTAGCATGAGATTGTGTACTGACTACCGGCAATTGAATAAGGTTACGATTAAGAACAGGTACCCATTGCCACGTATTGATGATTTGCTGGATCAGTTGAGGGGTGCTTATGTATTTTCTAAGATTGATCTCTGGTCCGGATACCACCAGATCCGGATTAAGCCGGAGGATGTGCCTAAAACGGCGTTTCGATCCAGATACAGACACTTTGAGTACCAAGTGATTCCTTTTGGGCTTACTAATGCCCCTGCGGTGTTCATGGATTATATGAGTCGCATCATTAAATCGTATTTGGATCAGTTTGTTGTTGTGTTCATCGATGATATTCTGATTTATTCCAAGAGTGAAGAGGAGCACACAGATTATCTGAGGACTGTGTTGCAGGTGTTGAAAGATAAGAAGCTATATGCTAAGTCGTCTAAGTGTGAATTCTGGCTATCTGAGGTGCAATTTCTGGGTCATGTGATTTCTGCTAGTGGTGTTGTTGTAGACCCTAGTAAGATATAAGCGGTAAGTGACTCAGAACGACCTAAGATTGTGACTGAGATCAGGAGCTTTCTGGGTTTTGCTGGTTATTATTTTCACTATGGTATTGTCGTTGACCTATTTGACACGAAAGAATACTCCTTTTGTGTGGACTCAGGAATGTGAGGAGTGCTTCTTGAAGTTGAAAGAGAAATTGACTACTGCTCTTGTATTGACTCTTCCCAATCCGGAAGGTGAGTTTGAATTATACTGTGATGCTTCCAAGAAAGGTTTGGGGAGTGTGTTGATGCAAGAAAGGAGAGTGGTTGCTTATGCGTCTAGGCTGTTGAAGCCTCTCGAGGAAAATTATCCGACGCACGACTTGGAGCTTGCTGCTATTGTATTTGCCTTAAAAATCTGGAAGCATTTTCTGTATAGGATGAAATTTGTTGTGTTCAGTGATCACAAAAGCTTGAAATATTTGTTTGATCAGAAAGAGCTGAACATGAAACAACGGAGATGGGTTGAATTCTTAAAAGATTATGATTTTGAGCTGAAATATCATCCGGGTAAAGCAAATGTGGTGGCAGATGCATTGAGTAGGAAGTTTGTCAATTTGTCTCATATGATGATGTGGGATAATGAAGTGATTGAGCAATTCCGAGATATGAAAATAACGGATTTCTTTGCAGGTAGGATTTGTGATATTGAGTTTACACGGATAGAGAATGAGTTGCATGATAAAATTAAAGAAACACAGATATGGAATGACGGTATCAAATACTTGAAAGGCCAGAGTGGCATATCTGTGAATGAACATGGGTTATTACTGTATCAGGGCAGGATTGTTGTGCCCAAGGAGTTAGCAAAAGAGGTTATGGTTGAGGCCCATAAGGGTCAGTATCCTATTCACCCAGGTGCTACGAAAATGTATCAAGATCAGAAAGTTAAGTTTTGGTGTCCTGGGATGAAAAAGGATGTTGCGGAGTATATATCAAGGTGTTTAATTTGTCAGAAAGTGAAGATAGAGCATCAGACACCTGCTTTACTTCAGCAATTGGATATACCAGAGTGGAAATGAGAGAGCATCTCTATGGATTTTGTTGTTGGGTTGCCTCGGACTCAGGCTGGTTACGATTCATTTTGGGTTATTGTGGATAGACTTACAAAGTTTGCACATTTTCTGCCAATGCGAGTGGATTTCACCACGGAAAAATTAGCAACATTATATGTGAATGAGATTGTAAAGCTCCACGGGATTCCGGTTAGAATTGTAAGTGATCGGGACCCGAAGTTTACTTCACGATTTTGGAGAGCCTTGTAGCAGGCTTTTAGCACTCAGCTCAGGCTGAGCACTGCGTATCACCTGCAGACTGATGGTCAGATTGAGAGGACCATACAGACACTTGAAGATTTGCTGAGAGCTTGCACACTAGAGCAGGGTACTGCCTGGGACAGGTACTTGTCATTGGTGGAATTCTCGTATAGTAATAATTTTCACTCCAGTCTGGGCATGGTGCCGTATGAGGCATTGTATGGATGAAAATGACGTACTCTTACTTGTTGGACTGAAGTAGGTGATAAAGAAAGATTTGGTCCGAATTTTGTGCAAGAAACTACAGTGCAGATTGAAATGATCAAAGAGAAACTTAAACAAGCACAGAATCGACAGAAAAGCTATTATGATAATAAGCACAGACTGCTTGAATTCGAAGAAGGTGACCATGTACTTGTGCGATTATCTCCGGTCACGGGTGTTGGCCGTGCATTGGGTGTGAGGAAGCTGTGTTCTTGGTTTATTGGGCCATATCAGATTATGAAAAGAGTGAGATTGGTGGCCTATCAGCGTGCCTTGCCCCCTCAGTTGTCAAATCTACACGATGTTTTTCATGTGTCGCAGTTGCGACGTTATGTTCCGGATGAATCACATGTGTTGATACCGGATGACATTGAAATTCGGGAGAACTAGAAGACTCTCATCGGTCCCATGGAAATACTACACCGCAGCGAAAAGAGGCTGAGAAGTAAAATTATTCCCATGTTAAAGATTCAGTGGGAAGGCCGCACACCTGAGGAGGCTACTTGGGAATGGGAGGATGAGATTCTCCGGCTATTTCCTGAGTTAGCGGACAAGTATGATTTAATTTTACGGACAAAATTTCAAAAAGGAAGGGTGAATATAACACCTCGTATTCCGTAAATGTATAAGTATATATGAAAATGTGGTTTAAAGGGTAAGAATAGTGAAAATCCTGAAATTAGGGTCAAATTGTATAAGAAGGGTAAAATGGTAATTTACCAAACACGTAACCCGAGACAAGAAAAATTGAGTAGAAGGCCTCACATGGTAAAAATAATGCTGGAAATGGATTTAGGACGAAAAATCGAGTGGATAGACAAGTTTCAAAAAATTTGATGAATAATGAATTTAACAGTGTAAAATACTGCGGTATAATTGTACCGATAAGCGCAAAAATATGATCAGTATTTTAGGAAATAAAAATATGACATGAACGAGAAAAATACGTAGGTTATGAATTTGTGGGTTAAATTGGGTGATTGAAGAAAGTTAAGTGACGTGTGGGACCCACTTTAAGTGATTTAAGTGGTTTAAGTGACTCAAACACTCAAAATCTAAACACTCTCTCTCCTCCCTCACTTCTTCAACCCGTGGCTTTTCCTTTGGAGAGCAAAGTTGCATCTCAAATCTTCAATCAACCAAAACTTACTCAAATCCAAATGTGTAAAACATCAAAGTTGTTCCAAATCACCTTGTGAGCATCTTTCCTTCTTTGAATGAGCCACAAAATTGAGTGTACAAGGAGATCATTTCCCTACTTGTGGTGGCGGTTTTGGTGGTGGTTGGTGGCAATTTTGGACCATTCAAGGGTTGAAACTTATTCTTGGGTTGCCTTGGGGTTGATTAGTGGTAAGTTTTCTTCTCCAATCTTTGATTTTGAATTGGATTGAATATGTGACCTAGGGTATGCTTGATTGGGTGGATATAGTTAGAGAGCTCAAATTGAAAATGCGTATTAGATAAAAGTGGCTTAGAATGATGTGTTAGAGTGATTAAACTCATAAAATTTATTGGTGAAATGGTTGGATAACTTAGGAAATTTTGTGATGGGATTTTAATACTTTGTGAATTGATATGATGATATGATTGAATAATTGAGTTGTGGAGCATTGGTATGAGTTAATTATAGGATTGTATGATATGTGTAAGTGTTGATTTGGATTGAAAACCTTGGAGCATGATTCCATGTGGAATTCAACCTAGAGGAAAAGATAAGGAAAAATGATGTGAAAAATGTTGTACAATTAATGGTTGATGCTTTGATGCATAGAATAGTGGATTGCTGGATTAGTTTGAGGATTAAAATGGTTGAGGTAGTTGAATTAAATGTAAGATGGCCATTGGGCCTAAGTGGTTATGTTTGGTTAAAATTATTGTGAAGTTAATTGATTAATTGCAATTGGTTGATGGTCATTGTTGTTTGATCATATAGGTTGCCTCTCACGGACGCAGTAGAAACGGATTAAGCTTGGAGCTTACGTGGAAGAGAAATATTTGCAGAGTTGAGGTAAACTCTTAGTACATGGGTTCTATCCCTTGTGTGTTTCGCCACACCTAGTGGAAGGTAGTGGTTGGATTATGTGCTCTTTGACTTTGTATGAAATGACATGTTCATGCATTATTGCTTGATTGTGTGACATGCTTGGAGCATGTTGTGTGATATATCTATGATCTCTGGCCAGTAGATGTGTATGGTTTGGACTTTCGCTGGAGATATCCCTTTGGGGATTTCGGTCGGGTTTTGCTGTGGGGCCGACTCTGGGAGCGGTACATGGATAATCCAAACGTGGGACTTCCGCTGGATAGGGCTCATGAGGAGTTCCAGTTGAGTTTTTCCATGGGGTCGTCTCATCTATGGGAGAGGCAACAGGAAGCTTTGCGGGAGTTATATGATGGGGTCCTTGAACAGAATCCTTATATGGATGTTCTTGGATATGAGCCCGGTGTGATGTGATTTTGTATGTTATGCATTTTATATGATGATCATTGTATGCACATTGAGTGAGCCATAGGGTGGAGTGATCCTCTAGTATCCTTGGTTTACTGAGATATATTTGTATATCTCACCCCGCGTTTGGGGACATCATTTCAGGTTATAGTGAGCATGGAGGACCTTCGGGCAAGAGGCCCGCTTAGTGGAGGAGTTGAGCATGATGTACATATGGAGAGCATAGCATTTTGCAGGATTACATTTGATGCACATAGCATAGTGTTTAGCATTTTTGGACTTAGGTCATGAACATATTGCATGTTGATATTGCCATGCTTTTGAGTGTTCATGACTAGATTCTAAGTCTATGTAGTTGATGTATATTGATGCCTATTGTTCATATTGATATTTTGGTGAGCATGGGACTTGTCCATGGCCACACATTATGTTTTGAGGCATTTGGAGACTTAGTATTGTAAACTAGCCATATGATATGTAAATGGTAAGACAAATGGTGAATATTGTAAATGATACATTTGTATTAGATTATGCATGATGGAAGGGCCTAGAGCCTACATTAGTTCTTGTGTAAGTTGTGTAATTAGTATTGGAGTGTTAGGAGTAGATTACATGATTCAATTTATAAAGATAAAGCTGTCATCTGTCATTTTCACAGTAGGGTAATCGATTACCTGTGTTTGGTAATCGATTACCTGAAACAGGGGACGCAAGATTTGAGCCACTGTGATCTAAGTAATCAATTAATTTTGCATAGGTAATCGATTACCTAGTTCAGTAATCGATTACCTATGGAAAGGTAATCGATTTCCAAAAACAGGGGAGCCCAAAATTAGCTACTGCCTCATTCTGGAATTTCTGGTAATCGATTACCTCAAGAATGGTAATCGATTACCACTGTGTAAATTTTGAAAATAAGTGTTTTTATAACCCTGAGTTTATGGTATTGCTTGGAGGGGTTGTAATGAATAAGTTTTATGCTTCCGCGAGTTTTGCATTTACAATTACGGTGTTATTTTTAATTGATTACGGAAATGGTTAATGTTTAACGATAATGATTTAATAAAAGAAAAAGTTTACCCGTAATTTAATTAACTCAATTACTGTGATTGTAACTGCGCTTAATACCATATGCAATGATAACATTACCGGTACGTAACGGGCTGTTACACTTAGTGTCTCTCATACATACTGTCACTGTACACATACATCACCCCCTTTGGCTACGCCATTATTTTGTGCACAGTGGTCTGCCACCTCAAAGCTATCTCCTTTATAGATAGATACCTGAGAACCCTAGATCCAATATCAACACACCAGTTATTGACTGGAAATCTCGATCCATCAGATAGAACATTGGCGCTGTCTGTGAGAAGGGTAAATTTCTACCCCCTCTACCAGCAAGGTTAACACAAGGAGCAATAACCATCGCTACCTCCACCGTTACTGCTACCGCTTAACGAGCCAGAGCCTGACAATGGACCCGATTTCAACTACGACATCATCCACGTCAGCAACGTCTTCTCAAACATGACATACACCGTGGCCCCCAATCCTCCAACTCAGCTCAGACCGATCCAGTTGCCCTTAATGACGGACGTAGACAATCACATCACGCAGAACGCCCTTAATGCGATCTTACAACAAATGGGGGAGATGGAGATCCGCAACCAGATCCAAAGGCAAATGGATGACCAGAGGATCCGAGGTATGGAAGAGCGACTCCTTTAGAATGGCATTCCAGAACATGGAGGGAACTAAGTCTGAGGCGAAGGAAACATAAGAAGGGAAAGAGGCTGAGATCATGACCACGATATAAATGAAAACAATGGTGGAGGAAATGAAGCTAAGGCAGACCATCAAGGACGAGGTAACAACAATGATTGAAATGGACATGATGGTGGACTGCGGAACACAAATCGAAGGAAATATCACAGAGGAGAATACAACAGTAGTCCTTTCACTGACAACATTATAAATGCATCGTACCCGGAGGGATAAAACTCAGCTCACCTGTCGAAATACAATAGGATCTAGGATCCTAAGGTCCACCTCGATTCCTTCCACATGGATATGTATGTGAAGGAGATTAATGAGTCAATCATTTCCCATGTTTTTGCATCAACCTTGATAGGAGCCGCAATTACATGGTTCTCAAGGTTGTCGCCGAATTCCTTCTGAACTTCGTCACAATCAAGAAGCATCCAATGTCCGATTTCACTTTAGGAGAGATCAAACAATGGCAAGGAGAATCACTCCAGAAATATTTGGATCGTTTCACGGATGTAGCCCTACAAGTCATGCATTTACACCTGGTGGTAGTCGGGCTGGATAGGACGTCCAGCTTGGCAAGGTATATCTATAAGGACGGTCAAAACATTAAAGGAATTCAGAGCTCGAGCAAAGAAGTACTTAGAGCTAGAGCAAATGGAGCTGGTGCACGCCACTCTAAAAGAAACAACAAGAGGTCGTAGCCCACAAAGAAGGAGCCCGACTAGAAGTGAAAGAGATCGACCAACAAATAGGAGGCAAGCTGAATTCCGAGGGAGAAACTTTGAAGATTGTCCCCTCAAAGGAAGGTGCGAAAAGTACACCCCACTAAACATATCGTGATCCCAGATATGGAGGGAAGTAGCCTTGTGTAAGAACCTGCACCGTTAATTAAGGAAGTTAATTAATTAATTAAGAGAAATTAGGAAATAATTCCATAATTGACCCTAATAATTATTATGAGGCTTTATTAATTATAGTAAGTGAGTAATAATGCTGAAAGTCGCTTTTCTGACGAAAAGTGCAGATACCGGTTCTTCTACTCGGTATAAATGCGTACCGATGAAGTATCCTAAAAAATTATAATAAGTGCATGAATATTCCTAGAATATTATATAGGACTAGTAAAACAAGTTTCATGTCAAAATAATGAGAACTGGTGCCAGAACTG